AAAAAAAAAAAAAAAAAAAAAAAAAAAAAAAAAAAAAAAAAAAAAACCACGTCCTTAAGAAACAGTCACTTGTCCTATCACTACCCACTGCGTATACAATATTCACACGGAAGATCTTTGCGAGAAAAAAAAGAAAGAAAAAAAAAAAAAAAAACTAGAAAAACCCTCCCTGGAAAAACTGAAAAACAGGATCCGCCAAGCGGACCAACTTACGAGCAGCTTCATGGCGAACGGATACAACGAAAAATCTGTTGTCCTGCTGGTTTTCTAGCCGTCGAGGATCCAACAGCTGACGAAGGAGAAGTGCACCTCGTCAAAGCCCGGGCCCCGGTTTATATACCGATCGCGTGCGCGACGAAAATCTCCCCCCTGGCCCAGGAGGGAAAAATCCGACCAGCTGAGACCGGTGTCGGGCCCCCTTTCAGTCATCGCTTTTCCTTCACCACTTTGTGTGTGTTTGTTGTATGCGTGTTAACTGCACGCACGAGCGTAATAAGCTGCACGCATTACCGCACCGGCACGCGATCGGTGGACCCTCCACGCGTGTCTGTCGGTCTGTTTGTTGGTTTGTTTATTTTGTCGCACTGCAGTATGTATATACACGCGAGTGCGTATGGGCATAGGTACACGTATACGCGCGCATTACGCGGGAAATGATGTTGGTTATAGCTTTAGAAAGCCGGGCCAGGGGGGATTCGGGGACTGCACGCGGGCTACTCATGATATACTCGCGTATCAACGGTCATGTGTTTTTCTTTGGCCTCGCTGGTAAGTATACGGGGAGAGGGTGCGAGCAAAAGGGGGATCGCAGGTGGAGGAACTTTTTTCGACTTTTCCTTCCACTCGTGTGGCTCTAGAGGTAAGTATCTTTGAACGCTCGGCTGGCCGGCCGGCGCTTCGGCTCCATCTGTCGCATACCGAGGGCGCACGCTACCCGAAACGGACGAGGTTATAACTACACACACGAGTGCGCGGCGTCTGCAGTATAATAATACCGTGTCTATTATCCATACTTAACAACCTAATTTCTTTTGGCGTCGATGTAGGATACATTGTACGTATACTAAACTCGTTGCCACTGCTCCGCTGGGCTGTTTTCGAGTGTGAGGGCTCGTCGTAGGTGAGTTTCGCACGTCGAGCCTTGTTAGCTTTAACGGAACCCTTTGCTTGTCCCGGTGGCTTACCGCATGCACTATAAGATGTTTTGAGTCGCTGGTCAGGGTTTTTTATTTTTTATTTTTTATTTTTTTTATTTTTTTGCCGTTGGGTACACGCGTGATGTGGTGATTTTAGTTTGGAATTTTTTACCACCCGCTTGGTGTGCTGGAAAATTCGTTTATAGGTTAGAATATTTAGTCTGTTTGATGTGTATGCCATGTTATTTGCGGGCTTACTTTTGGCTTTTTTTTCAATTTGACCAATGGTTTGGAATATAACGTAATGCTCATTTTTGCTGAATAATTGCTTTTGCTGATTTAAGATTACCACTGTTTGTGCTTGTATTACGATTATTATGATGTGAAAACTAATCACTTTTAACAATATGGACCCACATGAAAAATTTTTTTTACAAAAGACTGGACTAGTTAGTTATTTTTTATGTTTTTTGAGTCACTGAATCAGAGAATCTTTAAAGGACGAATTCGAACGAGTCAGTTTATGTTTTCGTTCCATACATACATTTGCACTGATTTTGTTTTCAAGTTTGAATTGTTATAGATTTTTTACGAATTAAAACAAATGATGACTAAAGATTTAGATTCAGAAACTCGAAATGTACAAAAAACAAAAAAATTTTGCCCTCAAAAAAAGTTTGTTATGGTGCTGTTTTTTTATTTTTTTTTATCATGGCTAATAAAAGATAAAAAAATGCTTTTTATACTGAAAAAAAATTCTCTATTTTTTTCAAAAATTTAATTACTTCCAGCTTTCTGTATATTAATCTCAATTTTTTAATTCATCAAATTAAAATATTAGTAATATACAGTGAATTTAAAAAAAAAAATTAATATCTTAATCAATGTATAAGAAAACAATTTTCAGAATTTTTTTTAAACCGTTATAGCAATATACCGAATATGAAGTATAAATTATGTATTAACATGTGGTTATTAAAAATCAAAAACTTCCGTTAAAACATGCGCTTTCTCGATTGATAAAATACACTATATGTATCTTTAGTTTGCATTTGAAGAGAGCATATGATTAAGTTTTACGGATGGATTAATATTCAGTTCAATGTCCCTCTGCTTTCTTTTCTGTCTCTTCGAGGAGAGGCCGTTTCTTACATTTACCCGGAAGAAATGGATCTCTGCGGTCTCATGAACGGTCAAGTGTTTTTCGCTTGCGGCAAGCAAAGTAAGTCGGAGATTCTGTCAAGGCCGTCTACTGATTTTCTTCATCTCTTTTTTTATTTTTTTTTTTTTTTTGTGTGTGGAACCTAGAAAACAATAAAAATAACTCCCAGAAAAACTGCTGAACAAAATTTCAATACTGGTATTTCCTAGAGCGCAGCAGTACACGTTTAGACCATATCGTAAGCAATTTGTTTTTATAAAATGCATAACAATACTTTTAACAAATGTTGTCAACGGTAAAATCGGTAGTTTATAAATTATTTAGTCACCAACATTAAGCTGAAGAATTATTTTTCTGAAACAATGAACACATTCAAGTTGTAGAATGCAATGCATTTTTTCACATCTATCATGATTTTTCTGTTAAAAAGTGTAAAATTCATTAAAGTTGGAAAAATGCTTATAAATACTGTTATAAAACTGGATCTTACAAATATTTTAAAATTTTTGTAATCGTCAACCATAAAGCGTCAAGACAATAATTTTTATTCTATGTTTAACGGCGAAAAATATTAAAATTCACTAAGCTGAAAGTGGAGAAGGTTTTTTTGCGTGGAAACATTTACTGCTTTCCATAACCCAATTGCGTCATTAATAGTCATGCTATTAAAAAAATTTTTATCCCATTTAATCATAGGTCATGCTGTTTGAAGTAGATTTTAATGCACGGTTGCTCAGACGACAGAGTAGAGGTCTATTAGACAGCTGGAATTTGTTTAATACTTTTATCGTTGAGAGCA